CAAAGCGCCGATGCATGTCAGCCCTAAGATCGTGGCTGTCGCCTTCCCCCGAGCCTGCGGTGCCCGACGGGACCCCGAGTTCACGCCGCCGCGCGCCAGAGCAAGAGGACGAGCCGCAGCTAGGGAAGCGGGGGCCGGGCTGGGGCCCCGGCGCCCTGATAGGGAAGGGGCGTGATAGCATGCTGCTCGCGGCGAGGGCGAGCCCGGGCGTGGGCTGCTAACAGGTGAAGCCGTGGAGCCCGAGGAGGGGACGTGGGGGTAAAGAGAGGGGCAGCCCAGAGGCTCGAGGGCAGCCAGAACCGGCCGCGGCTACTCACTCAGCCAGGACTCCAGGCTCTCCCCTTCCGCCTCCGCCATATTGCAGCCGCCCGGGCCGGCCCCGCGGCCTCAAAACTCGCGAGAGTCTGAACGAGCTGAGGCGGGGCGGGGCCTGCATGGGGGCCTGAGAGGAGTGAGTGCCATCACCGAGGGCCGCGCCAGAGTGCGACAGATATTGGGAGGGCAAGTGTTTCCTTTTGGCTCTTCCCTTTGGTCCCCAGAGTGAGAAACTCTAACGTCCAGATCAGTGGAGAGAAACGCAGATTTAGGACCCTGAGGAGTCTTTGTCACCCGTTTCGCGTCATTCGCTCAGGCGCGCCGAGGGCAGTCCTTTTGGGGTCCTCGTGACCAGCCAAGATGGCTGCCCCCGCAGTGAAGGTTGCCCGAGGATGGTCGGGCCTGGCGTTGGGCGTGCGGCGGGCTGTCTTGCAGCTTCCAGGGTGAGAGGGCGGTGGGCAGCGGGGGGCGCCGCTTGGTTCTACACGAAGGGACCTGCGAGGAAGGAAGGGGGCCACAGGCAGGCCGCGTGGGGCCCTGGAGAGAGCATTGCCCTGGGGGCCGGAGTATCTGGATTCAAGCTTCTAAGTTAGCTGCGTGACCCTGGACCAATCTGAAGGTTTAGTGACTACCTCTCGCCTAAGGGGTCTGGCTGATCTAGGGTCTAACGCGGAGCTGAAAGTGCGGTTCAGCTAAAGAGCTCAGAGCTGGGATCGCCTGTGAATTGGGAAGGATGTGTAGGCGCCAAGCCCATCCTTACCGTTAGCACTTGACCAGGAGGAGACTTGACCCGCCTGCTTGAGGGATGTCCTACTTCTTGGGACAAGGGCCTGAATTGTTGTGGCTCAGTTTTAGCTCGCAGTCTCCGCGCCGCTCTCCTTAGTCGGCACGTTGGCAGCCATGCCTATTGTTAAGTCAAACCTACTCGCTTGTGGAGTCAGCTTTTGCCTGTCTCCTCCTCTTCCCCCTCCTAGGTTAACTCAGGTGAGGTGGAGCCGCTATAGTCCTGAATTCAAGGATCCCTTGATTGACAAGGAATATTATCGTAAGCCTGTGGAGGAGCTAACTGAGGAGGAGAAGTATGATCGGGAGCTCAAGAAGACTCAGCTCATCAAAGCTGCTCCAGCAGGGAAAACAAGTTCTGTGTTTGAAGACCCAGTCATCAGGTTAGATGGAAACAAACATTTGTTACATGGACTGGGACTATCCCAGGGAGGGTCTCTTGTGAGGATTCCGTGATACAGCCTTGGAGAGCTAAACATGTTGCTTTTCTTTTTGAAGTAAATTCACCAACATGATGATGAAAGGAGGAAACAAAGTACTGGCCAGATCCCTCGTTACTCAGGTAAACAGCACCTCCCTCCTCAGTCATCTTTCTTTTGCCCCCTACCCCGTAGCCTTGTACTTGGTACTTTCAGTGTAGCTTAAGAGGAAATGGATTCATATACCTATTATTAAGATTAATTTCCCTGCATGTGTACGGGCTTTAATGAAGCCCTGTAGGAGTCAACAACTGCCATTCCTTGGTGTTTCGGAAATAAACACACAATTACAAAAAAAGGGAAAATAAAACAACTGCCATTCCCCACCTCACTCACCCCCGCTCCAAGCCACAAATCTCAGTCCAGTCTTTTTGTCCTAGTCTAGCAAAGGGGGAGGCACTTAAAAACTTTGTTTTGGATGTGCTGTGAGAGGAGCTGCATTGCCATAGCAGAACCGGAGGATGGGAGTAAAGGGCAAGGTTCTAGCTTGGCTGGGTAAACCCTTTAGGGAGCCTGGGGCAGCCTCTTCCACTGTATTCTTTTGCAGACTCTGGAAGCTGTGAAAAGGAAGCAGTTTGAGAAGTACCATTCCGCTTCTGCAGAGGAACAGGCAACCATCGAACGCAACCCCTACACCATCTTCCACCAAGCACTGAAAAACTGTGAGCCTGTGATTGGGCTGGTACCCATCCTCAAGGGAGGCCATTTCTACCAGGTGAATGAATGGCCAGGGCAAGAAAACAGGATCCCTCACATGTGAAACAAGATAGGTGGTACTTGGGAGTTGGGTTAAGATAGCTTTCTAGCTGGTGCAGTGGGATTGCACCTGTAATCTCAGCACTTTGGGAGCCTAATGCAGGATAGCTTGAGCTCAGGAGTTAGAGACCAGCAGGGCAACATAGGGAGACCCCATCTCTACAAAAAAAAAAAAAAAAAAAATTAGCCAGCTGTGGTGGTGTGCACCTGTGCTCCCAACTACTCAGGAGGCTGAGGTAGGAGGATCACTTGAGTCCAGGAGGTTAAGGCTGCAGTGAGTTGTGATTGCGCCCTAAAGCTTGTCTCAGGGAAAAAAAAAAAAAAGCAGCTGGGCATGGTGACTCATAGCTATAATCCCAGCACTTTGGGAGGTCAAGGCCGGTGGATTACCTGAGGTTGGGAGTTGGAGACCAACATGGAGAAACCCTGTTTCTACTAAAAATACAAAATTAGCCAGGTGTGGTGGCGCATGTCTGTAATCCCAGCTACTTGGGAGGCTGAAGCTAGAGAATCGCTTGAACCCAGGAGGTGGAGGTTGCGGTGAACCGAGATCACGCCATTGCACTGCAGCCTGGCGACAGAGCAATACTCTGTCTCAAAAAAAAAAAGAAAAGATTGAGACTGTCATGGTCCACTCGTCTGAGTCCTATAGCAGAAAAATTATAGGCAGAAGATGGAAGAGAGAAGAGAGCAAAAAGTACCTAAATAACATCTGGGAGCCCACCTCCCTTTACCTTCTTCTGTCAAGCATCCTGTGTGTCCTAACCTGTAAAATTCTCATGGTGAGGGACTATTCATATCCTATCTTCGTATGCCAGTGTTTGCCATAGTGCTTCACCCATAACTGATGCTTCATCCGTGTTTGCTGAGCATTACTAGGTACCTCTTTCATAGCATTTAATTATATTGTATTGTCCTGAGTTTTCTTGTGTTCTCCTTTTTCAGTATCAACTCCATGGGGTAGGGACTTCTTCATTATTGTCTGCACTCTCGTGTCTGGCATGGTACTGACACATAGTGAAGGCCTAGCAAATTATTTTTGGACGGGGGGTCTTGTTTTTTTGTTTTTCTTTTAACTTTCTTTTTTTTTTTTTGAGATGGAGTTTCACTCTTGCCCAGACTGGAGTGCAGTGGCGTAATCTCGGCTCTTGGCTCACTGCAGCCTCCGCATGCCAGGTTCAGGAGATTCTCCTGTCTCAGCCCCTGCACCCCACCCTCCACCACCGACCCCGAGTAGCTGGGATTACAGGTGGCCGCCACCATGCCAAGCTAATTTTTCTGTACTGTTAGTAGAGTATGTTTGTATTTTAGTAGAGGGTTTTGCTGTGTCTGAAGACTGAAGGGGTCTCGTTTTTAGGTACCTATGGTCTGAGGCAGATAAGTCACCCCAGCTAATAGGGCTTTTCCTGTTTGGTTCTTATAACAACTTGGTAGGACTACCATTTAGGAGGGAAAATGGCCAATGCTTTTCTTCTTTTTCTTTTTTTTTTTTTCTTTGAGACGAAGTCTTGCTCTGTTACCCAGGCTGGAGTGCAGTGGTGCAATCTTGGCTCACTGCAACCTCTGTCTCCTGGGTTCAAGCAGTTCTACCTCAGCCTCCCAAGTAGCTGGGATTACAGGCGCCTGCCACTGCGCCCAGCTAACTTTTGCATTTTTAGTAGAGACGAGGTTTCACCACGTTGGCCAGACTGGTCTCGAACTTCTGACCTCAGGTAACCCGCCTGCCTCGGCCTCCCAAAGGCTGGAATTACAGGCGTGCACCACCACGCCTGGCCTTATTTTTCTTTTCGATATATGGAGACAAGGTCTTGTTATATTGACCAGCCTGGTCTTGAACTCCTGGGCTCAAGCAATCCTCCTGCCTCGGCCTCCCAAAGTGCTGGGATTACAGGTGTGAGCCACTGTGCCTGGAGAGGCCAGTGCTTAATGAGTGTTTGCTGAATGAACGCCTCTTATGTCTGCTGCACTGGGGTCACCTGAAGGTGAGGGAAGCTCAAAGAAGACAAGACAGGCCCTTCTCACCAGGCCTGACCAGGGCTGGTCCAGAGGGAACGTGTGGCTACTCCTTAGAATTCAGGGAGGCAGGAGGCCCCAAACCCTGGCAGACTCTTGGACCAACTTGCCTATGTCCTGTCTCCCCAGGTCCCTGTACCCCTACCCGACCAGCGCCGCCGCTTCCTAGCCATGAAGTGGATGATCACGGAGTGCCGGGAGAACAAGCACCGGCGGACACTGATGCCGGAGAAGCTGTCACACGAGCTGCTGGAGGCTTTCCATAACCGGGGCCCTGTGATCAAGAGGAAGCATGAAATGCACAAGATGGCAGAGGCCAACCGTGCCCTGGCCCACTACCGCTGGTGGTAGAGTCTCCAGGAGGAGCCCAGGGCCCTCTGCCGCAGCAAACAGTGTGAGCCACTGCCAGGCTGAAAGCTCCCTGTGGGTTAGGGATGTGGTTCCTTTGTAAGGGTGGGCAGGCCTCATGAGAAAGAGGGAGCAGCATGTTCACTATCCGCGAATCCTTCTTTCTTTGAGGCTGGAACTTGCTCTCTCTGCCCCCATTTCCTTATAAAGAGGGAGCACATTGACTTGGGAATTTCCTCCAGGAAACTCAGGGCCATCTTCTCTTCCCTTAGCTTGGGGTGGACCGTTGGATATAAAAGGAAGCAGTTTTAGTATTAGAAAAGATTTATTAGAAAATTCTCACGCTGAACTGGTGTAGCATGTGGTGCAGCATTCATTGAAACTGGCTGGAGGAAATAGGCTTGCTTCCAGAGTTGTCCTTGTACAAAATGTATAAAAAGCAGTTTCTGGTATGACTTGTGCTCTGCCTCCGCCCGTTGACATCCCAAAGCATCCCAATGGCTATGCTTACCCATTTTACAGATGGGTAAACTGAGGCACCAAGGTAGTAGTTGCACTAATGGTTACACAGTGCAGTGGCTCTTAGGAGTTGCTCTTCTCTGCCTGGCCCTGGTGGGAAGGTGGTGGGGAAAGGGGCTCAGGGCAGGACCATGGCATAAGTGGGAAACATCTCACCAGGAGATGGGAAAGTCTAGAAGGGAAGACACTCAAAGTCTGGAAGGGAAAAGTCTTTGGGTGAGGCAGAGACTCCACTGCCAGTTTCAGAGGTGTGTAGAAGAAAGGCCAGTGCTGGCAAGGAAGCCCTGATCTAGGGGCCTAGTCGGAGACTTCGCTGTAATAATACTTGTGAGCAGCTGGCGTCGTCTTCCAGCCGGCTGCCCGGAACTCAATGATCTCCAGCAGCAGCAGCTGGGCCAGGGAGCTGAGGCCAGTTGGGAGCAGGAAGCCATCCCGGATCAGCACAAAGAGCTCATCCATGCGCTGCCCATTCATTTTCTCCAGCTGCTCCCCGACCCGGTGCAGCTGTAGCACCAAACAGTCCACCTGCAGGGGACGGCGGGGGGCGGGGGGTAACACGAGTGAACTGGGGCAGGGTCAGCCTGTCACACAGCATTTGCCAAGTGCCAGGTGCTGTGCCTTGCCTTTACACTCATTCCCTTGCTCCCTCCTCACCATCCAGTGGGTACTTCTTCAGCATTGAAGCAGAGCTATCACTAATGGTCTGAATTTGACTGGTTTTACAGCTCTGCAGTGTTAGTAGAGTTTTGCAGGAGCCAGCTGTGCTGTGCTGATGGTATCATTCTCTTACTCAAGCATTTTCAGTGGCTCCTAGCAGACTTCCACATCTTACACAGAAAGAAATGAGTTCCGGGACTTCCTGAGGTCCCTCGTCTGGCCAGGCTCCACTCAAGCCTGTCTCCAAACCACTCCTTCATCCCGCTCTCCTGCCTCCCTCACACTGCCTGACCCTGGTTTGGCTTTGGGGCCATCTGTACCCACAGCTAGCCATGGCTCGCACAGCTGCCATCAGAGGTTGGCCTTCTGACTGAGAAGGAAGCTGCTGAGCCAGTAGGTTTTGGCTGCTGTCTGTATTGGATAAATTCCAGACCTGGCAGCTTGTCCTGTAATTCTGACAGGCCTTAAACACCCCCACACTCCTGCCCCAGAAGTGACACCATCCTCAAAGGCCTCCATGAGCAGTGAGCTGACACTCGGCTGAGCCAGACTGTCCATCCCGTAGCCTTCTGTGCTTGTACCGGGGCTGGGGCCACCCACCTCCTCCTCCTTGCTCAAACTGTCTGGCTGGGCCAGCCGGAAGAGGCAGTCATAGACAGGGTTCACCAGGGCCATCATGGGCATGTTGTTCACCTGTGAGGGAGAGGAGGGGTCAGAGCACCAGGCTTAGTGGCCAAGGGAAACAGTCCAACCTGGGCCTCAGGTGACAGGCCATGTCGCCTCCCAGGGTGGCTGCTGGGGCCTCACCCTCAGGTAGTCAAAGATGTTGCAGATAAAGGTGACATAGCAGACCCAGCCCTGCAGGGAGCGTGCTCGCAGCTGCTCCCGAGCCTGGTACTCCTGCTGCAGCCGGTTGAGGAGTCCACGCCGGAAGACACTCTGGCCTGCTTGTTTAGTCTCTGCCTGTGAGCCAGGGAGAGGAAGGTGAAGGGTGGGGGGCGGTGCCCCTGCAACCCCACCCATCCTATGCCTCTTTATGTCTTTGAGCTAGACCCTGTGCATCTCTGTCCTGCAGGCCAGGCCTTCTGCCCACTCCTGAAGCACCTTCCTCAAAGCAGCTTCCTTTACTCTCCCGACCCCCAACCTGAATGATGGCGTAGCACATGCGTCCTGCTTCCTTGCTGAACACACAGTCCTGCAGAGAATGGTCCACAATGACATTGGCCACTTTCTCCAAGTCCACAGCACCCGGATCTAGGGGTAGAGATATGAGGGGAGTCTAGAGCTGCTGCTTTATCACATTTGCCTCCACCTGCTTCTAAGAACTTCAGATATTTAGAGTAGAGCACTCTCATATGCTTGAAGTGAAAGGGATCAGAAATCATACAGAGGACAGTGACTCCAGTGGTGCAATCAGCGCATGGTACTTACAAGAAATCATGGCCGAGGGGGGAGGGATTGCATTGGGAGTTATACCTGATGTAAATGACGAGTTGATGGGTGCTGATGAGTTGATGGGTGCAGCACACCAACATGGCACAAGTATACATATGTAACAAACCTGCACGTTATGCACATGTACCCTTGAACTTAAAGTATAATTAAAAAAAAAAAAAAAAGGCCGGGCACGGTGGCTCACGCCTGTAATCCCAGCACTTTGGGAGGCCGAGACGGGCGGATCACGAGGTCAGGAGATCGAGACCATCCTGACTAACATGGTGAAACCCCGTCTCTACTAAAAAATACAAAAAACTAGCTGGGCGAGGTGGCGGGCGCCTGTAGTCCCAGCTACTCGGGAGGCTGAGGCAGGAGAATGGCGTGAACCCGGGAGGCGGAGCTTGCAGTGAGCTGAGATCTGGCCACTGCACTCCAGCCTGGGTGACAGAGCGAGACTCCGTCTCAAAAAAAAAAAAAAAAGAAATCATGGCCGAGCTCAATGGCTCACGCCTGTAATCCCAACACTTTGGGAGACCAAGGTGGGTGGATCACCTGGGGTCAGGAGTTTGAGACCAGCCTGGCTAACATAGTGAAACCCCATCTCTACTAAAAATACAAAAATTAGCCACGTGTGGCGGCTTGTGCATCATCTCATGTCATCCCAGCTATTTGGGAGGCTGGGGCAAGAGAATCGCTTGAACTCGGGAGGCAGAGATTGTAGTGAGCCGAGATCATGCCATTGCACTCCAGCCTGCGCGACAAAGCAAGACTCCGTCTCAAAAAAAAAAAGAAAAAGAAAAAAGAAATAATACAAAGGGCCCGGTGTGGTGGCTCACGCCTGTAATCCCAGCAGTTTGGGAGGCCGAGGCGGGTGGATCACCTGAGGTCAGGAGGTCGAGACCAGCCTGGTCAACATGGTGAAACCCCGTCTCTACAAAAATACAAAAAAATTAGCTGGGCATGGTGGCGGGCACCTGTAACCCCAGCTACTTGGGAGGCTGAGGCAGGAAAATTGCTTGAACCTAGGAGGCGAAGGTTGCAGTGAGCCAAGATTGTGCCATTGCACTCCAGCCTGGGCAACAAGAGAGAAACTGTCTCAAAAAAAAAAAGAGAAAAGAAACCATACAGAGGACAGTAACCATACAAACAGCTTTAGCTGTCTGCTGACTGTTGCCCAGTCAGAGAAAATGGGGAGGGGTTATGTGGCTGGTAGGAACCAATCAAAGAAAGAATGTAGTTTCTCAGGAAACACATCTTTTCCTGGCACTAGGTTGAGGAAGGAATACTAACCAGGACATGCCTCCAACAGCAGTTTCACAAGAAAAAGTTTTTGTTTTTTTTTTGAGACGGAGTCTCCCTCTCTTGCCCAGGCTGGAGCGCAGTGGCCGGATCTCGGCTCACTGCAAGTTCCGCCTCCTGGGTTTACGCCATTCTCCTGCCTCAGCCTCCCGAGTAGCTGGGACTACAGGCGCCCACTACCTCGCCCGGCTAGTTTTTTTTGTATTTTTTTTAGTAGACACGGGGTTTTACCATGTTAGCCAGGATGGTCTCGATCTCCTGACCTCGTGATCCGCCGGTCTCAGCCTCCCAGAGTGCTGGGATTACAGGCTTGAGCCACCGCGCCCGGCCAGAAATAGTGTTTTTATAAGACACAGGGCCTCCCAGCAGGCTCGGCTTGGCACATGATGGGTGCTGCTAATTATTAGTTGAAGACAAACTTCTGTCCTGCGTGTTACAGCGGGAAGGCATCAGGCGAGGGCAATTACTATAGCTCCTCTGGCAGACGGAATATTCTCCACCTGTCTCAAAGCACGCAGCTGTGCATTCAAGAGACGGGGCTATGGCAGCACAGAAACGAGCAATTCAAATGTAAGCGCTTCAAGGGCAGGAGCTGTGTTCTTTTTTTTATGATTAAACCTTTTGTTGTTGTTCTTGAGACAGGGTCTTGCTCTGTTAGCCAGGCTGGAATGTAGTGGCAGGATCATGGCTCATGGCACCCTCACCCCCCCAGGCTCAATCAATTCTCCCACCTCAGCATCTTAAGTAGCTGGGACCACAGGTGCGTGCCACCATGACCGGCTAATTTTTCAATTTTTTTTTATTTTGTAGAGATGGGGTTTACACCATGTTTCCCGGACTGGTCTTGAACTCCTGGACTCAAGCAATCTGCCCACCTTGGCTTTCCAAAGTGCTGGAACTACAGGCATGAGCCACTGCACCTAGCCCTATGGTTAAACTTTTTTTTTTTTTTTTTTTTTCTCTGGTTGAATTTTTTTTTTTTTTTTTTTTTTTTTTGAGACAGAGTCTCGCTTAGTCGCCCAGGCTGGAGTGCAGTGGCGCGATCTCGGCTCACTGCAAGCTCCGCCTCCCGGGTTCACGCCATTCTCCTGCCTCAGCCTCCCGAGTAGCTGGGACTACAGGCGCCCGCCGCCTCGCCCGGCTAATTTTTTGCATTTTTAGTAGAGACGGGATTTCACCGTGTTAGCCAGGATGGTCTCGATTTCCTGACCTCGTGATCCGCCCGCCTCGGCCTCCCAAAGTGCTGGGATTACAGGCGTGAGCCACCGCGCCCGGCCTGGTTAAACTTTTTAAAAAGTCTTTACAGTCTGAGAGGTGACTGATTCATACTCCAAAATAATGGCCTCAATGTAGCTTGTCTTCCAGTTCAAGAATTACGTTGCCGATTCCTATCGTCAGAGAATGAGGGGAGGGGTGGAGGCATTCACCAGGCTCAGCCTCTGGTGCTGCCTACAGGGGCCCTTCTCTGTGGCTCCTGACCCCAGCTCAGGAAGGGGTCCCGTGCTCACCTTTGAGTGCTGTCTTCAGCAGCTGCTGGGTCTCTGCATCAAAGGACTGGATTTTATACTCCTCTCTACTGGGCTCCCCCATGACTAGCCAGCCCCAGTAGCTCTTGACTGGGCTGGGACTAAGGACAGCACCTGGGGAAGAGAAGAGGCGAAGGGAGCGGCCTCAGGTGTGGAGCGCAGGGCAGGTTCCGTCCTGCAGACCCTGGGCGGGGCTGACGGCGCTCGGTCAGGGGCTCCAGGGCGGTCCGTGGTGTGCGGTGGTTGGCTGACGGCCCACCAGGCTTGGCTTCTGGCGGGGACTGGGCATCAGCCAGGCACCTGCTGCTCAGTTTAGAAACCCCTTGCTTGTGGGATTACACAAGAGCGAGAAGCTGAAGCAGGAAAGCGCCCACCCTCCAGTCCCAGTGCGAGGCAGGAGTGGACTGGGGCAGGGTGTGTGCGGGCGGACGTTACGGTTGCTTAAATAAACCGGCCTGACGCTGCTGGCCCAGCAAGATGCCGGGTGAAGGCCAGGCTGGGAACTCCAAGCGGTGCGACTCTGTCCCCAGCAGGGCTCCAAGGCCCTCTCCCCAACCCTCCCTTTCTGGCTTTTGCCTAGTCCTTCGGTCTAAACACCCGCCGCTGCATCCCCTGGATGGGGCCGGCCTGCGTAGGTAGGAACGCAGGCGCCCTGTCCGCCCCCTAGACCCGGACCAGCTTCTCCCCGGGACAGACTGGTGGGACCGGCTCCCGAGTGGCTGTAACCCGGCCTTACTCACTCCAGACTCCTAATTCCTAAGCTCCATTATGGAGCTTTCCTCTTACAGTGGGGGACAGGATGATGCGCCCCCGAGAGGTGGCTCCCGCCAGAGGGTCCCCTCTGGCCATAGGAGGCGCCTTTAGAGTCTCCAGCCCTCGACCGCTCCCCCCGTGCCCAGAACGCCCCTTCCAGCAGCACAGGGCGGACTGCGTAGCCCACGGCGCAGGATCCCGCGGGCGGGAGAGGCGGCGTGGGCGCCGGGACCCACCTGTCGGGCCGGCGGCGCGCGCGCGTGCCCGGGGCCGCTGGGAGCGCGCAACCAGCGTCCGGCGCTGCGGGGGCCGCCGTGAGCTCATCTCCTCGCGCAGCGCCGGGGAAGGGCCGGCTCGCCGGCGCCACCTGCCGGGCCCCCGGGGCACTGCCCTGGCCTCCAGGCCGCCCCGGAAGCCACCTCGCCCGCGTGGGATCCTGCTACGCTGCCACTCAGCCGCAGGCGGAACTCGCTCGGCTCGTCACCTCTTCACCCGGTGCGCCTCGGCCCTGTCCCGGCCCACGCCGGACCTGCCGGATCCTCGATCTTGCGCGTGGCCCCGCACCCGGCCCTCCCCGGAGCTCAGGTGCACGGGGCCGGGAGACGCCGCTGGGCTGCGCGGCGTGGGAGGAGCCTGCAGAGGGCGTGGTGGGGACCCGGTGGGAGAAGGAACAGCATCTGCCCTGGTCGCACCACTTTCCCCGTTCCCCTCACCCAGGTAGAGAAGGCAGGGGCTGCAGGACCCGGGCCAGCCACAACCCTCTCCCGCTCCAAGGAGGACATGGTCGAAGCGAGTTTCAGGTCGGAGGGGCAGCCCTGAGAAAGGGGCCCCGTGGGCAACTCGCGGCCGTCGGTTGTTGCGAGTGCCCCTGAAGTGGCGCGGACCGGTCCACCGCCCGGCGTCTGCCCTGGGTGACAGGAGGGCACCTAGAAGAGGGGAAGAACTGCCGCCGCTCCTGCCGCGGGACCGGGAGGAGCGTTGCCGGCGCTGCCCGCGTTTTCGCCTCCTTTTAAAAGAACCGCCAAAGTGGTCACCGAAAACGGAGGATAAAGAGAACGCTCAGCTGCAGCAAAAGAAACCAATGGGCAGGAGAGATGAGGAGAGAAGGAGCTTTAACGGAATTTCATAAAAAATACATTCAGGCAGCTGCATCCTCGCGGCCCCCGCCGCAGCCTGGACCTTGGGAACCAGCAGCCCCGAGCCAGGAAGCTCCAGCATTCAGGGCCCAGACAGACCCCCAAATCCCAGACCAGAGGCAGGGAAGGATGGTGCGAGGAGGAGCCCAGGACCCACACGCCAGGGCCAGCGCCGGCTCCCAGTGGGTGCCTCCTTCCAAGGCTGGAGAGGGAGGCAGAATGGAGGGCTTCCCAGGTCGGAGCAACCCTACAGGCCGGGCAGGTGGAGGGAAGCGTGCAGGTCATGTTCTGGAGACCTCCCCGCAGCCTGGAACTGGTTTCTCCTCTGCCTCTCTGCCTGTGGGTGTCCCTGTGCTCTGGTAACACCCCAGGCACCAGCTGTGCCCTCACCAGGCTGCCTGCCCGCCCCTTCTGCCATCCCCATCAGCGGGCTGCTTCAGAGCCACGGCCCTTCTGCGGCTACAGGGGCGGATGCACCCACAGCATGCTCTGCACTGAGGAGCAGGCAGTGGGCGCTGATGCCACCTGCCCTGCCGACAGCTCCTCACCCAGCAAGGCCGACCCAGCCCCGGGTGAAAGAGGAGCGAGTGAGGTAGATTGGGGAGAGGCTGCACCTTCACCCATGCCTGCCCACAGCATGGCCCCTCCACTTCCTGCACGGGCGCTGGGAACTGCTTTCCATGGAGCCCCACGGCCATGACCAGCCCGGTGCTGGGAGAGGACGGCCTGGGTGGTGTGTGTCTGCAGACACGAAGATCTGGGCACGGGGCCCAGGAAGTGAATGGCTCAGCCTGGAGTTTTCCCCAGCACTAGAAGCAGAGCTGCCAAGGGCTGCAGCTGTGGAGAACATGGGATTTGAGGAAGGCAGGAGTCTTTTCCGTCATACTTTGTGAGCAGGCAGATGTGCCAGGGGAGACGGAAGATAAGGAATGTGCGTTTAGCTTTAATGTCTGTTAAATAGGTTGGGAAAAACAGGCCGAGTGTGGGGACCTGACTCCTGTAAAGGGCCTACTGCAGCCCTCTGCACTCAAGCAGCAGCCCCATCCAGACCAGGAGCGTTCTGTTCTCCGGGCAGACAGGGCTGACAGGTGTAGGACGGCATCTCTTTCCTTTGGAGTGTGGGCTGGGGTCAGAGGAGAAACAGCAACTTCCTGCTCCTTCTCGATGTGTCGTTGGTTCACCGTAGACCACGTCCTGCATTCCCTCTGATCCTCTCATGGGGAGAGCCCTGGACCTTCTGGTGGTGTCCCAGCTGGGTGGGTTCAAGGCTGCCACCCTGCTGGGGGCAGCTGGCCCGCAGGGAAGGGCCAGACAGCACCTCTCAGTGGAGACTGAATCTTCCTTCAGGAGGCTGCCTCCAGGAAAGACCTGGGGTCCTTCCTGCGCTCAGCGCTGGCTGGCTGTCCTGTTCATGCAGTGGAAGACATTACAGAAGAATTCATACCAGAAGAACATGAAGCCTGTGGAGAGGGCAGCCTTCAGCAAGCTGGGGGACAGGCCCTTGAAGAAGCCCAGGGCACCTTCCTTTTGCAGCACCTGCTTGGCACAGTCCATGAGGCCCTTGTATCTGCGCACCTGGGGAGAGGAAAGGGATGAAAACATGGATGTCCACTCTGCTCCCATCAACACAGCCCCTGGCACATCACAGCTCTTAAGAAGTACTTGCTGGACGAAGGAATGAATGCAAAATAGCAAATATTTTTATTTTATTTTTTCATTGAGGCAGAATTTCTCTCTGTTGCCCAGGCTGGAATGCAGTGGCACAATCTTGGCTCATTGCAGCCTCCGCCTCCCAGGTTCAAGCGATTCTCCTGCCTCAGCCTCCTGAGTAGCTGGGATTACAGGCGCCCACCACCACCCCCGGCTAATTTTTTGTATTTTTAGTAGAGATGCAGTTTCGCCATGTTGGCCAGGCTGGTCTTGAACTCCTGACCTCAGGTGATCCACCTGCTTCAGCCTCCTAATGTGCTGGGATTACAGTCGTGGGCAACCATGCCCAGCTCAAAATAGCAAATAAATTAATCTCATTTTTTGTACTGCAATTAGGTTAAGACTGAATAGCTGACAGGCCTAGAAATCAGCAGCTGGACAAAGCTCCTTCCTGCCCAGGAAGAACGGCTGCCTGTGGCTCCAAAGGATCCAGCAATGGCTCTGGAACCTCTTCCCAGAGGTGTCTCTGACCCTTCACCTCATCCCACCTGATCCCCCTTGGGCAGCAGATCTGAACCTGGCCCTCAGTAGCTCTCAGCCAGGCCTCCCTGCCTCCAGCTCACCCTCTCCAGCTGACCTCATGCACTGCTGCCAGACTTTCGTCCCCAGGCACAGCCCTCCTCAGGCCTGGCTTCCCTCCAAAAGCTGCAGTAACTCATAGTGACAACATCATGAGAAATCAAGTTCAAACCCCAAGATCTGCCATTCAAGGCACTGCACCATTTCGCCTTGATTTCCCTCCCTGATCTGACCTCCACTGTCCTCCCACATGCCCTTCCCACCTCTGGCCAGACTGGATTACACTAGTCTTCATTAGCAGCAAGGCCTCCCTCTGCCATCCTGGGCTCCCACCATCACTCCCTGTCCAAATTCAAACTGTCCCTTCATGCTGGGTGCAGTGGTGCATGCCTGCAGTTCCAGCTACTTGGGAGGCTGAGAGGGGAGGATCGCTTGAGCCCAGGAGTTCGAGACCAGCCTAGGCAACAGAGTGATGTCCCATTTAAAAAAAAAAAGAAAGAAAAGAAAACAAACTCTTCAGGACAAGTTGGTAAGTGGAAAAGGGAGGTTACAAACCTTGTATACAGTGTATCCCCATTTTTGTTAAAATGTACACTGTATTTATGAAAAGAAATAAAACTACATTGAACGTTTCTATGTGGTTATCTGTGGTAGTGAAATTACAAGGGATTTTGGTCTTTTTTTTTTTTTTTTTTTTGAGACAGAGTCTCACTCTGTCGCCCAAGATGGTGTGCAGTGGTGTGATTATAGCTCACTGCAGCCTCGAACTCCTGGGCTCAAGCAATTATCCTGCCTCAGACTGTCCAGTAGCTGGAACTACAGGCACACACCACCATGCCTGGCTAATTTTTAAATTTTTATTTTGTAGAGACGGGGTCTTGCTATATTGACCAGGCTGGTTTCAGACTCCTGGCCTCAAGTGATCTTCCCATTTTGGCCTCCCAAAGTGTTGGGATCACAGGTGTGATCGACTGCAGCTGGCTTGGTCTTTGTTTTTGTCTATCTAAATTCTCTAAAGTTTCCTACAAAGAAAATGCATTATAACTACAAACCCAACTCTTTCTCTTCCCCCAAGGAAGGAATGCTCTCTCCCTACCTTGCCTCCCATTCCGTGCCATCCCTCTCCTCTGACATTGTCAGGCATATTTTTTCATGCCTCCACATCTCAGGTTCCAGGATACACAGGGGAGAGCCCTGGAACTACCCATCCTTACCCTACCCCCAACCCTACCCATTGATGACCAAAAGAAAGGGAGTATGTAAAAATCTGAGCAACTGAGGAGTGACTACTAAGACTACAACATGACCTAGCATGCGGGCGTTTCTCTGAATGGCGAACTCTCCTAGCGCGCAGTAAAAACACTCGGGCCCGGCCGGGTGGCTCAAGCCTGTATCCCAGGCACTTTGGCGCAGGCCGGAGACGGGTGGAATCACAAGGTCAGGAGATCAAGACAGTGCGCTGGGCTGAACCACGGTGGAAACCGCGTGGTCTCTACGGTAAAAAGTACAGAAATACTAGCGCGGCGTGCGGGGCGCGTTAGTCCCAGTAGCCACGGAGGCCTGAGCAGGAGGGAGGAGGAATGCGTAAACCCGGAGAACAGCTGTTGGCAGGGAGGCTGAGATCCGCCACTGCACTCCGACCGGGCCGGGACGAGGAGGACGACTCCGTCTCAAAAAGATAGTAATAAATAAAAATACAAGTCTTTGGCCCGGGTGCGGCAGCTCATGCGCGGTGTAGATCCGCGAGGCACTTGTTGGAGGGTTGAGGGCGGGCAGATAAACTGAGTCAGGAGGTGTTCGGACCACCGTTGGCCAATGTGGTGAAGCGCCGCCAGTCTCACCATGGTTGAAACCCCAATCTCTTAACTAAAAAACAAAAATGTAGGACATCGGGTGGCGGGCGCCTATAATCCCAGCGTACTCAGAGGCTAAGGCAGGAGAATGCGTTGGAACCAGGGAGGCAGGGGGCTGCATGTGAGCGAGATCATGCCACTGCCACTCCAGGCTGGACAAAAAGGAGGTGAGACATCCGGGCTCAAAAGCTATATGTGCCAGGCACGAAGTGGTTCACGCCGGGAATCCGCCAGCACTTTGAGGCGAGTGCAGATTGGATCAGCTGAGGTCAGGAATTGCAGTAGAGAGCCAGCCTGGCTAACATGGGTGAAAGCCGCGTCTCTACTAAAAACTACAAAAATTGCGGGCCGGTTGTGTGGTGGGCATACGCCTGTAATCCGCAGCACTGTGGGGAGGCTGAGCAGGAGAATTGCTTGAACCCGAGGAGGCAAGTGCCAGTGCGACGCCAAGATCCGGCGCCATTGCGACTCCAGGCTGGCAACAGAGAGCGCAAAAGCTCCGTTTCAAAACAAAAAACCAAAAGCGAAAAACAAAAAAAGTAGCAGTAGGTAGTATAACTTGGTGTGCTTCAAATCCACCCCATTCCAGAACAGCTACAGCCAAAGAAGACCCCTTTTCTTGTCTTTACAGTATTGGGTACCTTCCCCGTATGTTGAATGTATTCTACGTCACAGGCGGTGACAGCTGGGACGAATCGTGTGTGTTTTTTTGTTGTTTTTTTGAGACGGCAGTCGTCGTCTGTCACCCAGGCGGGAGTGCCGGTGGGTGTCGATCGCTTCTACATGGTAAGCATCTGCCTCCCAGTTCAAGCGATTCCCTGATTTCACGCTTCGCCGAGTAGCTGGGACTTAGTGCCCACCACCGATGCCCAGCCTAATTTTTTATGATTAGTAGAACGGAGTTTTACCATGTTGAGTCGGCTGTCGTCGAACTCCGATGTCAAGGTGATCCACTAGCCTTGGCCTCCAAAATTGTTTGGATTACAGGTGTGAGCCACAACCGCGCACACCCAGCCTTCTGACAGTTTTTTTTTAGAATGGAGTCTACTGCTGTTGCCCAGCGGCTGAGTGCCGGAGTGGGTGATCTCAGTCTCTCTGCAAGCTCCACGCTCCTGGGTTCGATGCGCTATTCTCCTGCCTCAGCATCCTGAGTAGCTGGGACTACAGGGTGCCTCGCCCACCACGCCCATTTAATTTTTTGTTTTTTTTTTTTTCTTTTTAGTAGAGATGGGCTTGGCACCAGTTACCAGGATGGTCTCACTCTCCTGACCTCGTGATCTGCCTGCTTTGGCCTCCCAAAGTGCTGGGATTACAGGCGTGAGCCACAGCGCCCGGCCAGGACATGTTTTAAGAGCAGAAACTGGGCTAGGTGCAGTGGCTCACACGTGTAATCCCAGCACACTGGGAGGGGAAGTCAGGAGTGTTCAAGACCAGCAGGGGAAACAGAGTGAGACCCTGCCTCTATTTTAAAGAAAAAAAAAAAAAGAGCAGACACTATATGTCCTTGGCCCAGATCCTTCCACAGTGCTCAGGACCCAGGGCTCACATGCAGCTTTCCCACATGCTTGGGGATCTCCAGGGATAGACTGGAGGTGAAGGGGCCCTGGCCAGGGGTAATGTTGCCCAGTGGGTAGCAGGTGACTACCGGTTCCCTCATGTGCCCAGTGATGGCAAGGGTCAGAGCTGTCTGCCCGGGAATGAATGGCTCACCTGGCCAAAGGCAGCTCTGGCGTGCTCGAACCCTCCAACCTGTAGCCGCTTCTTGAAGAGGTCCAGTGGATATGTCAGGGTCTTGCTGATGACACCAGCTCCACTGCCACAAAGCAGGTTTTGGAGGTTCTCTGAACCAGAGAAGTGGGATTGGGAGAACGGATGAGAGAAACGCAGTCTATGGGTGACAACTTAAAAGGCATCAGGGCTAATCCTCCACCACAAACCAAACCCCACAAGCGCACTTCTATCTGACTCCACTGGTCCTCCCATTCCAAAGAGCCAGACATAGCCACTTCTGGCGGAGTGGGAGGGGCTGGAAGGGCTGGAGGCCGTAGTCCCTCAGCTGGAGGCAGTGTGGGCCTCAGGCTCCGCAGCATGACTCAGTTCAGGGCTGGAGAGGGACCAGGATGCCCCACCCCTCTCCAGCCTCTCCCTGCCCACACCTCCCGCTCCCCCTGCCTGGAAAAAGCAACGGAAGAACCTCAACCAAAAAACAAGCAATTTGCAATTTGGACTTCTGACAAAAATGAAAACCATGATCAATCACGGGACGTAAATGTCAGTAATGCCAGTGATGGGTGTGGCATGAGCTGGGAGGAATCAAGTTCTCTCCAAGCAGCTGCAGTTGCTTTGTTTGCCACATTACAGAGCCGGGTACAGAGACCCATAGTCTTCGATTTGGACAGAACTTTAGTTCCCTCGTGATTTGGAAGAGGGCATTCTGGCGGCTGGGGTGGGAGGGTTCCCTCTCGCGTGAGGGCTGCCTCACCATTTTTCTTTCCTTCGGCTGGCATGGCCCACTTGTACAGGTGCTTCAGGGAGCTGTAGCAGGAGAACTGCAGCCCGGCGTAGGGGAAGATGGCGATCAAGGTGGGGGCCAACCCTTTGTAGAAAACCCGCGGGCCCTCGCTCCTATACATGGTCCCCACGGCGTGGCGCAGCGTATTATAGACCTGGACACACACACGCACTTTGAATGGTCTCAGTGAGGTGATTTTAGCCCTGAACAGCCCATCATAGCTCTGTCCCCTCGCCTAAAAACCCAGTTACCAGGAGCGAAACTCCTCCTGCCAGGAAGACAGTCAAGGAAAACGCTGGACAGAGATTCAAAGAGTGGCATTTTCCAGAAACTCCCCCTTCCACACATGTATACCACTGTCCTATCCACAGGTGTGCACAAAGGTACGTGTCCAAGAGTCACTGCAGTGTTCTGGGGAAGAGCTAAAGATGTGATGTCCATCTGTGGGTGATGGTTACATGAATTACGGGACACCAGCTCACAAGAACATAGTGCAGCTGTTAAAACAGGAAGGTGCGGCCCGGCACGGTGGCTCACGCCTATAATACCAGCACTTTGGGGGAGGCAGAGGCAGGCAGATCACTTGAGGCCAGGAGTTTGAGACCAGCCTGGCCAACATGGTGAAAGCCCATCTCTACTAAAAATACAAACATTAGCCAGGTGTGGTGGCTCACGCCTGTAATCCCAGCTTCTTGGGAGGCTGAGGCACAAGAATTGCTTAAACCTAAGGCCGGGCGCGGTGGCTCAAGCCTGTAATCCCAGCACTTTGGGAGGTCAAGGCAGGCAGATGACTTGAGGCCAGGAGTTTGAGACCAGCCTGGCCAACATGGTGAAACCCCATCTCTACTAAAAATACAAACATTAGCCAGGTGTGGTGGCTCACGCCTGTAATCCCAGCACTTTGGGAGGCCGAGACGGGCGGATCACGAGGTCAGGAGATCGAGACCATCCTGGCTAACATGGTGAAACCCCGTCTCTACTAAAAATACAAAACTAGCCAGGCATGGTAGCGGGCGCCTGTAGTCCCAGCTACTCGGGAGGCTGAGGCAGGAGAATGGCGTAAACCCGGGAGGCGGAGCTTGCAGTGAGCTGAGATCCGGCCACTGCACTCCAGCCTGGGCGACAGAGCGAGACTCCGTCTCAAAAAAAAAAAAAAAAAAAAAAAGAATTGCTTAAACCTGTGAGGCAGAGGTTGCAGTGTGCTGAGATTGTACATGGCACTCCAACCTGGGTGAAAGGCGGAGACTCTATCTAAAAAACAAAAATAAATAAATAACAAAAATAAAGTAGAGAGGAGGTCTTGCTATGTTGCCTAAACTGGTCTCGAACTCCTGACCTCAAATGATCCTTCCTCCTTGGCCTCCCAAAGTCAAAGTGCTGGGATTACAGGCATGAGCCACTGCACCTGGCCAAGCATGTTACTTAGAATTATGGAAGGAAATAATCAAAGAAACAATTGTAAGTATTAAAAGTAGTCACCTCTGGGGATTGGAATCAGGGAGCAGCTGGTATTTTTTAAAATTATAATTCATTAAGAACTGTCTTTGTAACCTTGATACACTTTATATGTTGTAAAATTTTTTATCACACAAAGTCAGGTTTACAATATGGTTGTGACTAGTCTAAAGCAGGTGGAGGGTCTTGTAGGTTTTAACCAGGTCTCTTCCCCTCACTTTCATGACCAGATATTCTCTGATCATTCTAGAATCTAAAATCCAA